CCAGAAACATTTTTCTACTCACACAAGGAGAGCAGCAGTAAGGCGAGCAGACCCGGTCTCCTCCAGGACCCCATTTCTGGATCCCACCGGCAAGCAGAAGCCCAGCTTCACGGCGCTGACCACCTCATCCTCCCTCGGTGGAGCCAGTCTCCTGCGTTCCTGCTGTCAAGCCCGGAGCCCCTCTTTGCGAGGCTCCCGGCTCGGGCTTGCCGGGAAGGCGGATCCAGCCGCTAAAGCCCAGCTGTGCGTGGGGTCCGCCCAGGAACTGCAGTTTATGAACAAACTAAGCCTGACCCTCCTCTCGGAATATATACAAATATGAGAGGGGGGGAGCTGGGGGAAGAAGAAGTCAGGCTCTGAGAAAAAGAGTTGGATGATTTTTTTTTTTATCCCCTTGATGTCAATGCGGAGCTGCTCCTGGCTCCATACGGCCCAAGGATCTTTGAAGGGGACCTAAAGCCTGCTGCATGCATCTAATCAAAAAGGCATGGGTACTCCTGCATGAGCCTTTCATCTGAATAAAGGACGAAAGGTAATGCCTCAATATGCTGAGCTGCCATTAATTCACTACTTTCCCCCTCTATTTTAGAAATTATCTTTTAAATAAACTTCAACAGGCTATATTTTTAATAGGCACAATTAAAAGTTTTGGGGCAGCTTTTTCAGAAAGACCACATCAATGTGAGCTTAGCCTAAAATAGGTGCTTGCAACCCATTAAAGCAGCAGGATTTAAAAATATATGTTTTCCTGAATCGGGGCCTAAAATAATAACATAGAGCATTTAAATATCTGCTTTCTCCCCAAGATCTCTAACTGCTCTGCAAAAACTTGTAAGAAATATTATCCCACTTCCAAAAAGGAAACTATGAAATGCAGCAGAATTCTGACTTGCCTTGGTTGTTAACTCAATCAATCAGTGGCAAAAGGAGTAAAATCCTCAAATATTTGCCCTATGATCTGCCCAAATCCTTCAGATAAATGTAGTTGAGTGTGGCAGAGATGTTGCTATTCAGGCTTTTTGCACCCAAAAAGATAATATTTTATAGTTAATGAAAATACATTGACTAATTTGAATATATATACTGTATTCTAATTCAGTGAATCTACAGCTTTTTATTTACCCATTTTACAATTAATTTTTGGTTCATTAATCAGTTTGAGGTGAATATGTGATGTACCTATATATGCTCATGTGTGTATTCATTATGGTAAATGTTTTCCTCCACTGAACTTGAAGGCCTTTTCTTTGCATCCATCTTGCTGATAGTTTGCACCCACTTGTTTTGTAAACTATTTATATAAATTATTCTGTTAGAGTGTTAAATAACGGTATCTTTTTCCTTTTTCTGTGTTTAAAAAGGAAAAAAGGAGGAGATGTTAGATGTGGTACAGCTGATAAACAAAGTGTGCCTCCTATGCCATGGTGACACACACATACCCCTGCAGAGGGTTGCTCTCACCTGCTGTGGGGTGCCCAGATGCAAGTCAGCTCAGCCTGACTTCCTTAGGGCTCCCTGGCCCAAGTTACCACAGATCAAGTATAGCCTCTGAGGACTAAGAATGAGCAAATATTCAGCAAACTTCCAGAAAGATGTTATTTTCTAACAAACATATTGAAGCTGCTCATATCGGAACTGCTTTGTGCACGGTGGTTTCTTGGGGGCGCCTACCAACCCTTCTCTCTCGGATCCAGAGCATTTCAAAATGCTCATGGATTTCTCAGCCCACCAGTTGGATTTTCAGATGGGAACTCTTGTGTGTGTTACAAGACAACTGGATAAGGCTTGTGTTAGCAACATCACAGAATATTCATGATCCACGGGAGCCCCCTTTAAAATCAGGAAGAAACCCCTGCTGCCTATGAAACTTGGAGAGAAATAACGTCCCCAGCAGGAGCCCAGAGGGGCTTTAAACAATAGTGGACATTGACAAAACATGTTGTATGATTTGGAAGTGCAAGAGAAGCATGGGGTGTTATTTTTTTAGCAGCAGAACCTGGGAAGGCAGCAGGATGCCTGCACAATGTCACTGCAGCCGGGGACCCTGAGTTGCAGGATCTGCATTTTCCAAAATTCCAGGCAATCCCAAACAACTTCTGAGCCAAACTCAGAAACCCTATAAAATGCTTTGTCCTGTCTGCAGGATAATCTTATGGGGAGATTTGGGGCCAGATCTCACTGAAATGAGAGAAAAGGCAGTAACTGTCCCATGCAATGGCATCTTTACAAGGCAGTTGGTTATCTACAGGAAGCTCTGCAAGAGGAAACTTTAGGGGAGCAATGCATGTCCTGCTCTTCCTAAACAGTTATACATATTTTTAGATGGTGTTAGATCTTCTGCTTGGCAAAGCAAGTTGCCATGATGACAAGGGCAGAGGTTTGCTTTCCTAAACGGGTCACTGGGCACTGCTGGCTGCTTTCTGTGCAGGGGAAACCTGCCTGTCTGTTCAGCCCTTGTGTAAGATTGCATGGAGTTGAAGTACCCTCCTGCAACCTGTGTTTTTAGTCCACCTAGATGAGTCTATTGCAAGCAAACCTCATGTGAAGAAGAGGAGGAAAGTGAGGCTGGCACTGTGCCATGAGTCACCCCAGGTCAACTGGGGAGCCCCTCAGCATGTGCCCCACTGACCTGACTACCAGCTCTGTTCTGGAGAAGCTGGTTATTTCTTAGACTTTATCCAAGGAAAAAAATTCAAACTAAAAATCCACCAGAGTTACTTGGGGAAAAGTGAGTATTCTGGGGTTTAGCCTCAAGTGCCTAAACTCACATTATAGAGCTTTGCTTCCATGAAGGAGCACAGTGACCTTTTGAGTAAGACACTGGGGAGGAAGAAGAGATAAATGGTTATTTTTATTGTTGGCTTGTTTATTCCTTTTGGTGTAAATTCCCTTGCTCCTCTATTAGTGGTCTGGACAGCCTCATAACTCAAGACACACTGAAGGCTGGATTTAAGCTGAGGAACGTAAGGTCTCTGCAGGGTGATTTTTAAGCTGCATTGTGGGAGCAGTTTTCCCAAAGTTCTCATTTAGGAGCTGGAAGATATTTACTAGAGAAGTAAAATAAAACTTTGGACACCTGAAACAATATAGCATATGTTTAAACCGGGGTTTCAAGCGGCCCGGGTTTCCACTGTGGGAGGCAAGGCTCAGCAATGAAGCAGTAGATTTGAAGCTTCCAACACGGGCACTAAATACCCCTGCACAGGGTAACCTCATGGTGGACATGTGCAAGGCCCAGGTGAGTCAAACCTGTTATTATTCCCAGGGGTGAAGATCACCTTCATGTGACAGGGAATGTGAAGGGAGAAAGAGAGAAGGGAACCACATAACCAGCCCCAGACAGCGCTAATGTAAGGGCCAGTGCTTCTGAGATTCTCTGGACCTCTTCCATGCTTTCTAGCCCCAGAGATCCTGGCAGAGTACTGGGTTTGGAATGACTGACTACAGCAAAAGATGTTAGGTTTACTTGTGCAGTCAGGATATATCCTTCTGGCCCTCTTGATTTTCTGCACATTACAGAAGTGGACTAATATCTGTTGCATCTGCATTGCTCTTTTTCAATCTGTTTATATCAGTAGTGATGTCGGGCTTCAGATGAGGTCTGTCAGTGTCTTTGTTGTTAGGAGAATTTGTTTTATGCCTTGAAGTATTAAAAGACAGGTCTAAGGAACACATCTAGCTATAGGAACAGGACTTAGCTTCTATAATGAGCACAGATCCATGAGTATGGATTTGTTTTTATGTTGTGTGCTCATATTGTACTACCCCCAAGTTGGCCTGGCAGTTAATTAAACCCCAGAAATGTCATCACTTCTGCATCTTATAAGCATGACCTTGGTTTCACTGTTCCATCAGCAACAGTTGCCTGAGAAAGATGTGCACTCTGCAGTATGGATCCAATCCAACCTCTGCCTCCACCCTGCATTCACAAGGACACTTGCTCCAGACCTGGGGGTGTTGACTAAAATCAAATGCGTTTCCTGGTGGCACTGAGAGTGCCCATCGCTCTCTGGGAAAAGCTCTCGTTACCTTGCACTGTCTCAGTTTCACAGGGTTTTGATTGAGATCTTGGATGTGGTGTTATGGCTTGTGATGCCTGCTACCACCTAAGGAAAAATACTGTGATGACCTTTGGCATTTTCCATTCTCTGGCTACAGCTTGTCCCAGGGGTGGTGTGGTAACCTTTGATGATGCAATGGCATGAGGAGTCAATCAAAGCCAGCACTGCATCCTGAGGGACACAGCCATATCTCTTTTGGGCAGAGGTGGCTTTGTCTGCTCTGCCACAGCCTCTTCTCCTTAGCCCTGCCGAATTCCCCATGCTCCAACCTCTCAGCTAATGCTCGTTTCTGTAGCTTTGCATAGTCCAGAAACACTGGCCTAAGTTCTAACTTCTCACAGACTGTGTGTAACAGGTTCCTTTACCAAAGCTGCATCAAGATTAAGTAAAGGTCTACCCATCTCTACCATTTGCAATTTTATTGAGTTGTCTTGTATTTTTCTCTTCTATTCTGTCACAAAACACCACCTTTCTTCCTCTGAAGCTTGTCATGGCTTATTTTGAGCTGCTTTTGAAGCCATTTTGAATACATTTTCATTCATACTGTTCATGTGTTTGTACAGATTCTTTCAAAAATTAGATTAGTTTTAAGATGGATTAGTTTTGGATTTCTTGTTTTTATTTGTGGATTGAGATATGCTGTTGCTGAAAGGGATGGAAACCGCTGCTATCAGTTTCAGACTGAGTGAAATGGAATGATTTTCTCCAACCCAAAAGTCACCCATATCTCTTTTCCACTCTTTCTCTGAAAAATTAACAAAATGCTGATTTCCCTACACCTTAGCACTCATGTCACTCAGATATTTAGATGACAGAAATACATGTATGAGGAGCTTGAACTCACCTACTTTTCCGCCTGCACTCTGCCACGCTGAAGCAGCTACTCATGCATTTTACTGACAGTTCCTTGACATTAATTCCTCTTGTGTATTTTCTTAGGGATCCTAAGCAAGTACTGTTTTCTGCTGCATCCATCACACCCCAAGGACATCACATGCAGACAGATGCCAGGGTCTTCAGTGAGGATCAGCCTTTGAAGACCATCAGCGCAACTTGGCATCACTTTGGCTGCTGGATGCTTCTGGAGAGCAAATACCTTCAGTTCTGGAGGTATTAGCCTGCAGAGGGAAGTAGGAGCAGTTTGACAGCCTGACTCATGAACTTTGTATTATTATTACTGGTTGTGAAACTATGATAGGATCCAGGAGCCTGAAACACGGATCAGGAATGTGGTTTTGAAGAGAAACTCCTGGCCTTCCTGCTTTGGCTTGTGTTACAAGGCAGTCTCAAGGCAGGCACACACAGGGTTTTTTTTCAACAGCAGCTAAACTGGAAGCTGTGAAGGGTGGCAGGTCCCTGGGAGTGGGATAGAGGCATCCTAAAAATTATCAGCTAAAATATGTGTGGTGTGGATGGCAGGTTCTCAACTCCAGGGTGTTGCTCCATGAATCTGCTCTGTCCTGAACCTCCCTGCTTTCGAGCACCAGCACAGCCAGATCCTGCACAGGATATGCAGTCAGCAGGAATATTGGCTGCTTTACTTTCTCTTCCTGAGGTTACTGAAAGGCTGTGGGTGTTGCAGAATAGATGCAAAGCAGAGCCACTGCTTTAGGTGTTTTCATTCTGGTTCTCAGTAGCATGATGGTTGTTGTTGGTGGTATTATTATCTTATAAATATAACTACATGTAAGAAGTTGAAGGATGAGGAACTCGAAGAAACTGATAAATAATGTTGTGACAAAGAGGAAAATATCTGAAATGTTTCCCATTAATATAGCTGCTTTTTTTTTAGGTGTCTTATTTTCTAGAGCAACACAGCCTGTCAAAAGATCTGATAAGAACACATAACATTACATAAAACACCAGGGAGCCACTTTATAAGGTAATATTCCTTGCGTAGCTTTCTTCCATCAGAAAGCAGTTTATCCAGTGTAATGGTAGGATTAAAACAAATAGATTTACAGAAGAGAAAAGATGGAGATCCCTGTTTGCCACAGACTGTAATGGGAGTCAGGGCAACTTCAGAGACTGAAGGGACTTGTAGGTAGGATGTGGTGTAGAGTTTGCCTTCTTAAAGTTGAAGAACAAGGGACATGCTGCCTAGTAAAGATGTTGAAGAGCAAGAGAGTTTCTTTGTTCAGATTGTTAGAGTTTAGATTGACCTGCAGGAGATTGGACTCACATTGTTACAAGAGGGGGCCCTGGGTGCATGAGGCATTGTGCCTAGCTAGGGGGAAACACTACAGCTTATCTTGACCACAGTAGCTCAAGCCCTGGAAGTCCTCCTGAGAGCAGCACTGTGCTGCAATAAAATACCTTTATCCCACTTTGCATGCTGAGGTAGGGAAATGTGGTTCAGGAAGAGGACTTTGTTGGAGACTTTAGTGCTTGTGGAAGATCTCTCCACTGCGTACCATTTTGTTCAAGACATTTTACTCTCCTCTAAACTCTTCAGGCTGTAATGTACATGAGGGCTACCCAGGCTCCCAGTCATCTTGATTTAAGCACTTCTACCACTACCCTCATCCTCTATATATAATGTTTTAACTCTTCTCCACATCTTTTAGTAGTATGAAGAAAATTCAAAGATGAAAATAGTTTTTGAAATCATAGAATGTTGGACCTACAATGTATTACCGTACTTTATTGATAATGTTGTTTCCATAATAAAAATATTTAGTACAAAGTATGATATCCTGCATGAGTTTCACATAAATATTTCCACTATATAACTGATAGGGATCAGAAAAATTTCAGTATGCACATGCTGCAAATGCAAGTGTAATTGATACAAGGTATGTATCTTGATGTACATCTTGAGTAAACATAAGAAAACCATAGCTTAATGAAAAACAGACTGTGTCTTACATCGTGCAATCGTGCTTTTACATCTAAACTGGACCTTGGGTTTAGAAAACAAATCTTAAATCAGTCCTATTCAGAGGACAAATCACAGTTCACATACTTGCAAAAAACTTTTGTTTTAGGAAAGCCTTTTGTGGAAAAGCTTGGGAACCTCCATACAGCTACAGTGGTGGAGGGGTGGGAAAGGATAGATTGAGGTATCAGTTCAAACAATCTGAGGAAAAAGTTGAATAAACATTGAAGACAACAGAATAGAAACCAGACGCCAAATATTAATTCATAGGATCTTCAAAGGGGATTTTGAGGTTTATTTTAATTGTCGTTGAAAGAAAAAGATTAATTTTTGGATGAAAAATGTATGCAAATTCATCTCTGGTCAACACTACAAAAACCCCATTTCCTACACAAAGCAGAAAAAAGCAAAGCAAAGAAACCCATAATATCAACTTTGTAATCCCCCAAAGTGGCCTTTAACCTGAGTTTGAAGAGTAGGAAAAGAAAAAAAAGCTACATAAGAATAATAAAGCATGTAGTGCCTGAATCAAAGGACATGAATCTGGTGTAAGGATGGGAAATCTCAAGGGCTGATGTGATATGTAAGCCAGAGAACCATGACACTGCTCCTGAGCATCCAAAACAGTATTTGGAGAATGAGGAATAAATAGGAGCAACCTCTTCATCCAGTTTGCCAGTCCCACAGGGACTGTGTAGGCACCATGGGGTCATAAGACCAGTAGTGAAGAGGTGTACATATATATATATATATAAAAAAATCTACAATCTGTGATGTTCTGTGGGGGCTGAAGGGTGGACTTTCTGAGTGTCTCTCCAAAAAGACAGGGAATGACAGAAACACATGGGGAGGTTTGTTCCTGCTCGATGAGAAGAGATGAGACAGCTTGGGCTTTCATTAAATAATGTCAGAGGCTTCCCCAGAGCTGAACTTGGCAGATTTTGCCTACTCCAATTCCTCCTGAGGAAGAGTGGCAGGATGGAACATCCTTGGTGCTGCCCAGCAGCAATGGTGGGCAGGAGAACCTCTGGATGTCCAGCCACTGTTGGGAGAGAGCTGATGGAAAAGGCTGGCAGCCAGGAGGTGAGGCAAAAGGAACAGAGCACCACCAAGTCCTTCACTACTTCTAAAGGCGTGAGTGAGAAAATAACAGGGTGCTGAGCTTTAAAAAAATAGCCCGAGCTGCCTAATGCTAGCAAACATCCTGTGGGAAAGTTAATGGCTGCTGAAAGAGACTCAATAAAGGACAGTGACAAATCTTGCTATAGACAAAAGATGAGAAAGTATCTGAAACATTTCCCATTAATATGGATTTTAAGTTTTGTTTAAGATGTGTTATTAGCTTTAACAACACTGGGTGTCAAAAAACAAGCAGGAAAGGTGTGCGAAGCATGGCACGACAAACTCTTCGGTGACCTGAGAACTAAGAGGGGAACAACAACAACACAAACAAATTTTAGAAATAAACATTTACAGCTGTAAGAGAGCGGGTGAGGGGCCGAAGGCAGCTTTATCCCAGACAGGGGCAGGAGGCTCAGGGCTGCCTGTGGCCGAGCGGAGCACGATCACAGCGAGGGGTGTCCGTGCACAGGGGCGCGAACGAGCCTCTTTTGGCACCAGGGTGGGCAGGCCGCCCTCAGCACCCCCGGACCGAGCCTCTCCACGGTCACGGGCGGCGGCCGGAGCAGGGGCCGGGGCCGGGGCCCGGGCAGGTTGGCCCCCGNCGGGGCTCGGGGGGGCCGGGGCCGGGCGCTCGCCCAGCGCTGCCGCCGCGGCGGGAAGGGGCTACAGGTGGGACGAACCCTTCCTCCTCTGCCTGGGGCCGAGCCCTGCTCGGTGGAGCACGGGACAGAGCCGTGCAGCATGACCCTCTGAGCTGCGGGGTTCTCTTTGCAGCCCCGTCCTGGCTGCTGTCAGAGAGCTTTGTGCACCCTCTGTCCTTGTCCCTAATGTCAGATTACTGTTTATTATTATAAATTATGTTTTTGTCTCCCCCTCCCCCCTTAATTTCACAAGTAACTCCCCCTCCCTGACAGTGCAGCTCTTCCTTTGCACATGGTGGGCGTGTGGTCCTTACTAATTTCTGGCGGCCAGTGTGTAAAAAGATAACGATCCTCCTCTGAGAGATTAAAAGAAAAACATCTTGGTGCGGATATATTCTGTTTCCTGTGAAAGGGGAGAGGTGGCTTCACGTGTCCCGGGTGTCCTGAAGAGGAATTCGCTGGTAGCTGGGAAGTGTTTGGATAGAAAGTAGTGGGGTTAGCCTGTTTGGTTGGGTTTTTTTAAAGGTTACTTTGTTACCTGTAAAGAGAAATATTTCGTTTCTGTATCCTCCAGCTCAGGGTGGTTTTTGGTACCTGAAGTTGTCAGTTTGTTGTCTTTTCAATTTTCCCCCTAAAGCAGGTTTACAGTTTTCACTTGCAAATATGATGCAGAACATAGGTATAAAGCAAAGCCCTGTCAAAGCCTTTATTCCATAGAGACCTGTTTTATTTGAATAAATGTGGTGTGGGAGAAGGGGAGACAAGGTTAGTAGCCTTTGCCTTGTGTGGTTAGTGTTACATGAATCTTTATTTTCCTCTTCTGAAAAGATGGAAGACTGTTTGGCAAAGAAAATGGAAATCACGGTTTCAGAAGCTGAAAAACGGACTGGGAGGAATGCCATGAACATACAAGAAACATACACTGCTTACCTCATTGAGACTAGGTGGGTGATGAGAGCTCAGTCTCAAGAGTACATGGATGTGCCATTCTAAACAGATTTTCCCTCCTTCCACTCCTAAAAATAATCAGGTACAGTCGATGAGAGGATTTAGCTGTTTTGTGCTTTGTTATGTGGCTATCAACCCACTCTGGAGCATCTTTTCCTGTGAAAATTTGGAAGCTGATCTCCAGTTCAGAACTAGCGCTGGTTTTGTGTAACTCTGTACTTTAATTCTTTATTTGGAGCTTGGTGGAAAAATGTGTGTTTGAAAGTTGTTGTATTAAAATGATGTCAGTAACTGCTTGGTTATTTCTTGGACATAAGTTGGACAAATTTATACATGTGTTTGTGAGATTTTATGTGAGGAGGTCTAAAGTAACAATTGGGCTTGGTTGAGATGACAAAAAAAAGAAGTCTCATGACTTGTGTCATGTGCTCAAAATGTGTTGCTCAGCTTATATTTGAAGTGTTTTGCTTGATCTGATTACCACTTACTCCTTCTAGATGGTTTAAGGGTTAGAGTTAGCTATTTCCTTTCTTCATACTAGCTTTAACTTTCACTGGGGAACTTACTGCTCTCAATCTTCTTGTGTTAACAAGATTAATACTACTGGTACGATAAACATTCTCAGTATTACAAACACAAAATTTCAAGTATCAAGTAGTGAGCAAAGCTTTAAAATCTCTTCTAACTTATCCTTACTTCCCAAACAGTAACAGATGACTCCTATTATGTGGGATCACGTTACTCAGCTGAGGCAAGAATTTCAAAAGTAGACTTTGTTATGAGTTTTATTTAGCCCTCCTTTATATTACTAGTTTTAACCTTTGGGCCTTGCCTTTGGAATTATCTGCTGTACAAAGAAAACCTTCTGAAACAAAGCAGTTGCGTTTTGGAAAGCCTCTGTAGAGTTCAAATTGTAATACAGTCACATAAGCCTTCTATCTGCTAGTAAAAGGTTTCTTTGCTTGTTTAGCTGATGGACACACCAGTCACTGACTGCAGACCTGCTGGGATAAGTTTACTATATTCACTAAACTTAAAGAACAAAATGCAAAATAGACATATATTTTTCAAATATTGTAGCTCTTTTGATAGTTGCTCAGATGCTAAAAAATACTTTTACAGTGTATTGATATTAAAGATCACATCTTCTCATATGGTGTTCTTTTTGTTGTAATGATATTTCTGAAGGGAAAGAGAAGAAAATTGGAATAATTTTGGCCTAACTGTGATATGAAGTGTACTCTGGGGACAGATTTATGCAGCCTCAGAACATGCTGACTGCATCTCCTTTTCCAGTCATCCTTGCATTACTTCAGAGTTGCTCCCACTGGTCTTTCCCAGTTGTTCTTTCATAGTGGCAAAACTGTACTTTGCTGGCCAGATTGTGTTCTTTCATTAAGATTTATTTTACTCTGTGGGCACCAAATACCAAGATCAATTACATGTTTGTCACAGAGCGATTGAAAATGTGGGTTTGTCACATCTCTAATAAAATAGGTTCTCTATTCCTTTTGCTGAGAAGGCAAAATTTCTTGCATAAATATAATTGGTGGCTATTAAATGTGCTTCCTGCTGAGCCTGTAGCTGTAGGTGGGCTTCATGGTAATTTGTCTGTGGGTAATAAGATATTTTGTAGCTGAAGAATAAAACAGTTTATAGTAATATAAAGGGAAGACCACTTAATAATAGTTGCATTATGTTTATGTGAACTAGGGTTCCACCATTACTGCTATCTAGGATCTAATTTCAGTTTGAATTGAGGAATTCTATCTGGGTGAATAAGAGACACAAGACCATGGTATATGGTTTTAAAACAGGAGCTGAGTGCTTAAATCTTTAACACGTAAGTTTCACTGGTGCTGGTGAAAATGTTTGCAAAATGCAAGTGATAGGTGTTACTTTTTTCATTTTAAATGAAAAGATTAATTAATATGCTCACATTTTTGTGTTACTTTTGTTGATTTTTTTATTAATGTGATATTGTATTTTGATGTAGATATATTTATTTGAGACAAAACAAACTCCATTGCTGTAGACTGCAGAACATCAGCAAATTCCAAGGGTTGTGCTTCCTGAAATCATCTTCTTGCTTTGGACCCTTCTGCATTAGCTAATCCGATTTTTTTGTGATGAGCTATTTCCATTCAATTAGTCATGATGTCAGTTTGTTTCACAGCTTCTGTTAAACTGTACAGTTATTTAAAACTAAATCAGTTTTTATATTCTCCCTGTGAGAGCGGAGGTCACTTCTACCTATTTGTGGGAAATGGCATTAAGGGAAGTACAAATTCTTAAGATGTATAGCTAAATATTCCTTCTGAGATGTGCTCAGCATACCACTTGCTTTCTATAAGGGAAGTAGCAAAGATCCAGGATCTCACTAAAATTCAGACTTGTTTGTTAGAATTTTAGGCAGCTGTGTCTTATATCAGAGTCTGCATGAAACTACAAGAACTTGGGTAGAATAAACCTCAAGTCTGACTCCTGGCTTTGTACCTGTTATTTTTCATGACAGAGCTGAGAGTTAATCAAAATGCAGAATACCTCTTAAGTGCTCTGTGGTATTGCACTTTCAATTATAGGACATAGAGGGAATGCCTTCTTT